AACCATGGGTAAGTATGTTTAATTTACAATTATAATTCAATCGTGACCTAGGTCACGATAAAGAATTTGATCCATCTCTGATATTACCATTCAAATTATTCTATTAATATGATTCAAACAGTGCCAAAATTATTCAAATCCGATCCCAAAATTACTAGAAATAAAAGACAGATCAAATTCTTTATCGTGACCTAGATCACGATCAGCATTGCTTGTATATAATTTTTTTTTCTAGTAAAACGATGGGTAAGTATATTTAATTTACAATTATAATTCAATCGTGACCTAGGTCACGATAAAGAATTTGATCCATCTTTGATATTACCATTCAAATTATCCTATTAATATGATTCAAACAGTGCCAAAATTATTCAAATCCGATCCCAAAATTACTAGATATAAAAGACGGATCAAATTCTTTATCGTGACCTAGGTCACGATTAACAATTGCTTGTATATAAATTTTTTCTCTAGTAAAACTATGGGTAAGTATGATCAAAATTTTCATGGGCTGAGTTCATTAATCGAACACTTGTATTGATATTGATATATAAAAATTTTAGGCTCCAGACTTATATCGGTTTCCGGTTCAAGTAATAAACAAGGTACCGGGTTTTTCAACAATCGGGACTAAAATTGCCATTTTCATATCGTTAACCCAATTTATCAAGTCACTTGAATATTGTAACTGTCGTGACTGAAGTTGGGATCCGACTAAAGTTGAAACTTCAGTTGACTGAAGTTGGCACCCGCCTAAAACAGCTAACACTAATGCATGCAGAATGATCTAATTTCAGTGGCTAATTTCAGTCAGGTGCAACTTCAGTCAACTGAAGTTCCAACTTTAGTTGGATCCCAACTTTAGTCATGACATTATAGTTTCTAAATTGTTAAATTGGTAAATTAGTTGTACCATATCATTGTTAACTAATAGTCAATTATTTAACCTACAGATACAATAGCTGTTCCCCCTCAGGCTACTAATGTGCCAAAAGTAAGTCATTATATTTCATTCATTCAATCAAATATTATTTTCATATACAATTACTCATTTTCTTTACAATTAAAATTAAAATTTATTTTTAGTCTAATGGTTCAGTTAACGGAGTAACCCAACATAATTCAAATAATGTATATTCTTCTCCACATCAACATACACCTACATCTTCCTCAACCCCTACTCAACAACCAAGAAGTACTCCGGCTACTGCAACTTCACAGGTATATTATCATATTACAATATCAATTTAGTTACTTTCCTTGTGATTCAATTTTTAATCAGTTATTTATATTTAAATAAACTCAATCCACTACACAGCAACCTCAGCTACAGACTCCTCAAACTATTAGAACTACTTCAACTACACCATCAGATTTAGTTTATTCAATCCCTTAAAATTAATTAAGCATGTTTATCATTACGATGAATAATGCATAAATTATTAAAGTTTATTACGTAATAACACATTTTTTATTAGTAAAAGACATTAAATGAATTTTTCATTTCAATCAACAAACTTTTTACAATAAACCTCCTTTTTTTTATACCTGCCTTTGAACATTATACAATCAATAGAGTATTCAAAGAGATCGTGCAAACAACTTTGCAATAGATCATCAATTTTACTTCTTGCATCAAAAGTTTTTATAAGAAATAAAAAAAATCAGGAAGTACAAGAAACAATAACAAATACTTACCATCTTTTAGCTTTTGCTCAATTGGCAACAAATTCAACTATTCTATCGATAATTTTTTCATTTGATACAATAACTTAACAGCAACGAAGTACTAAAACTGGTGGGTTATAGATTAATGTTTCTCTACTTTAAATTGAATGGATGTTTTTGGTTTTTTTTTATTTTGTTATTTTCTGACAAAGACATTTGACAAATAATAAAAGAATCAATAGGAGACCATTCAAGTATTGACTGCAATGTTTGTTTTGATT